TCTAATTCCTCCACAGACATCCCATCAGGGAGCTTTCCCCCGTGACGGGGGACTCCTGCACTGGACTCCATCCCTCCCCTACTGGAAAAGCACAGGTGCTGTGGCATGAGTTTAACCGACTGAAATTCCCTGATCTTCAGAGTAATAATTCTAAAACAGGGCCACAAATACCCTTGTCAGTGTACTTGGAAGAACCTCTCATTACTTGAGGCCCTGGAAATGTAGACACCCCTCCCGTTTTCCAGTGTGCTGTCAACCCTGGCATCAGAGCTCTTCCCGCCGTGGGCACTGGTAATTGTCTTACTGGAGAAAGTCAAGCTTTTAAGTCCCAGGAATACAGGGTTCCTATTTCTTTAGGCTGTGTTTATTTTTACACTATTGCTGGTAGAGTCAGTGTGCACTCAGTGAAGATGAAGCAAAAGTGTCAAAGAGTGATTTCCAAGAAGATGGAAAATATCTGCAGTTTCTACTTCCTTACCCAGCAGGCGATGTCTCTCCTGTGGCATCAGACAGTGGAGACAGTGGCGCTCAGTGTGGGGCCTCCTGGCTGAAGGAGGGGACAACACAGTGTTCTGTCTCCCTAGATGCTGTATGCACCTCACCTGGGTGGTGATTTACTTGAGAGAAACCCATGTGTGGAGTAGGGAGTGCTGCCTTGGCACCTACCCAGGTCCAGCTCTGGACTCTGCCTCTTACCAAGGGTGACTTCTAGGCCTAACTCACCTGGTGGCTGTGAGAACCCAGTTCCCACAGATCCAGGCACTTCACAGTTCACAAGGTGAATGCTCAAGATGATAGAATCTTCCATTGGCTCATCTGAGCACAGCACTCCCACAGCATCAGCTCCATTCACAGCCAGCTGCTCTGCCAAGCGCTGCTGTTTTCCTGGAATTGTGAATGCCCGGAGTCTCCACAGGTTGCCAGCTTGAGTCCGGAGAAGGTATATGTATGTGGAGAATAATAAATAGTGAATTTTGTGAAAGTTAAAATGAAAGAAAATGAAATGAAAGAAAAAAAACTTGAATATGAAAAGGACTTTACACACCATTTTTGCTTTGTTTTTTGCTTTCGGTCCTTTTTAGTTGGTCACAAGGTCTAGCGCAGGTATTAACATATGATGTCAGTCTTCAGGCTCAGTGAATTCCTCTGTCTCACCTTGCAGGTTATATAGGAACTTGCAGGTGGCAGAATCCTAAGAGCTGGAACTCCTGACTCTGCCTGAGGGATCACGGTGCTTCCCATGCAGTGATTCTGTGACTACAGGCACCTGCCTCTCAGAGGAGGATTTTCAAATCTGTCACAGCTACACTTGCAGGGGTGTCCGTTGTCACTTTTTCTGATGGAGAACTCGGTTGTTGTGAAACATATAGTTTCCGATATTTTGATCCTCGCACTTCCCACACTAAACAGCGGCACTGCATTCTGTCCCGCAACTTTGAAAGGGGAAGCAAGAGGTTACATCCTGTCTGAATCTCGAGGTGCTCCTTGAGGAATGTCCAGTGGCTGCTCTGGCTTGGGACAAGCAGTGTCTCACAAGACCAAAGTGCCTCGTGGCACAATTCTGTCAGCGACAGAGGCCGGTGCCAGGGCCATCACCCCAGACTACATGACCAGTCCCAGACTGCTGTCCCAGACAGCACACTGCCCATCAGTCCAGGGAACCCTCTATTTACCATTACATACTGTCGAGGGACTTCATAGAAAATGGTCTTGTGGATGTTGTGAGCTTCTTATGGTTATTTAATAATAACCCCATGAGATGCAGACCCTGAGCACAGGGGGAGCTCAGTGTGCGTTCCTGTTGTAAGGGCAGGATGAACGGTCCAATCAGAGGCCTGTGGCATTGGGCATGTGGGCACGTGGATCTGGTCAGCATCTTCTGCCTGCAGCTCTTTCTTCTCCAGCAGTGCACGGCATCTGCGTTAGTCAGGGTTAGCCAGAGAAACAAAACCAACAGGATGTGAGTGTAGATGCAGAGGGAAATTTATTATAAGGAGTGAACTTGTTATTCGCAATGCCGACCAGCCCCAGATCTGCAGGATGAGGGGGCAGCTGGAGGCCCAGGAAAGCCCTGTGTGGTTCTGTTCCAAGGACTCACAGGCAGGAGGAATTCTCTCTGTTTGGGGAAGGGCAGGCCTCTTGTTCCCTGTGGGCTTCAGCCTGATGGGGTGAGGCCCCCACGCTGGGAAGGGCAAACTGCTTTATTCCCTCTGCTGATTTAAACATTAACCTCATCCAGAAATACCATTGAGAGTAAGGCCTGACCACACCGGGCTCCCTGTGGCCAAGTCAAGCTGACGTATAACTGAAGGTCACAGCATCTGAGAACTTTCTCTTCCTCCTTACGTCAAAACCCCCATGAGTGTTTACAGCAAAACAAATTCAGAACCGAGGCTCTCCTGGGTGCTCCTGTCCAGACACTCTGAATGAAAGTCCGAATTCCAAATGGGGCACCTGCCTGCTTCCCAGGCCCCTTCTTCCAGGGATTGGGGTTGGGACGTGGGTCTGGGTGCATCCACTTCAGAAGTCCACACCGGGAGGCTCAAGGTGGAGCCATAGCACTGGGCCAGGGCTATGGGTTCCTAGGGGCTGGTTTTCCAGGAAATAAGAAAGCAGCCACTTGCAGAAGAGATAGAGTTGAAGCCCTGACCCTGCAGTGCTGGAGCAGTGGATCCGTTCCTGTCTCTGCTGAAACTAACCTGTGTTCTGTTATTGACAATACAATATTCCCAGCTAAAACAAAATGTGCCCTATGCTGACCCTGCAGGAACTGTCTTTGTGAAGTCAGTACTACCAGGTTACTGAAGTTCTATTTCTAAACTGCTGAACCCAGACAGTGACCTGGACGACTGTTAGACCTGGAGGCTGGCTCTGATACAGGCCTGAGGCTGCCTAAAATCACTGCAGGAGTGGAAAAGGCCAATTGAGTGTTCATTTGACTTTTCTGCTACTGCACAAATTATGCCAGGCCTCTTTACATTCTAAGCCAACAGGTGGGATTCAAGAGCCATTCTCCATTGCTTTTTGTTTTTTTTTTAACTTCGTCAAGTTTAGATACTGGTGAGTATGTGACTTTATTTCTGTGTTCTCTATTCTGGCCCATTGGACTCTGTGTCCGTTTTTACACCGGTAGCTGTTGTGTTGGTTACTACAGTAACCTTGCCGTGTAGTTCGAAGTTGGGTAATACGATGACCCCGGCTTGGCTCTTTTTACTTAAGTTTGCTTTGGCTCTTTGGGCTCTTTTTTAGTTCCACACACATTTTAGAACAGTGTTTTCTAATTCCGTGAAAAATAGCATGGGTAGTTTGGTAGGATAAGATTTCTAGATTGCTTTGGGCAGTATGACTATTTTAATAATTTTGATTCTTCCAATCCATGGCCATGGAATTTTTTTTTTTTTCATTTGTTTGCCGTCTGTGATTTCTTTCAGCAGTGTTTTGTAGTACTCCTTGTAGAGATCTTTCACCTCCTTGGTTACATATATTCTTAGGGATTTATTCTTTTTGTGGCTACTGCTAATGAGATTGAATTCCTGATTGGGCTTTCAGCTCTAACATTATTGCTGTATAGAAATGCTACTGATTTTCATACATTGATTTCTATTCTGAAATGTTAATGAAGTTATTACTTCTAGAAGCCCTTTGGTGGAGTCTTTCGGGGTTTGGGTATAGAATTACATCATCAGTGAAGAGAAATAGTTTGACTTTCTCTTTTTCGATCTGGATGTCTTTCGTTTCTTTCTCTTGCCTGACTGCCCTGGCTAGAACTTCCAGTACTACATCCAACAGGAGTGGTGAGAATGGGAATCATTTTTTGTTCTAGTTCTCAAGGGGACTGCTTCCAGCTTTTGCCCATTCAGTATAATGTCAACTGTGTGTTTGTCATAGATAGCTCTTATTATTGTGAGGTATGTTCCTTTGATGCCTACTTTATGGTTTTTTTTTTTTTTTTTAACACAAAGGGATGTTGAATGCTATCAAAAGCTTTTTTTCACATCTATTGAGTTGTGTTTTTAATTATGTTTATGGGGTAAATCACATTTTTTTATTTTCACATGTTGAAACAACCTTGATTACAGAAATCTACAGGGTGATGATGAATTAACTTCTGGATGCGCTGCTACACTAAGTTTGCTAGTATTTTGTTGAGAATCTTGGGTATATGTTTATCAGGGATATTGGCCTATAGGTTTTGTGTGTGTGTGGGGGGGGGGGTGTGTGTGTGCCTGTCTTTGCTAGGTTTTGATATCAGGTTGACACTGGCTTCACAAAATAGTTCAGGAGGAGTCCCTCCTTAACTGAGTTTGCTTCAAGAAGTTGCCAGGATTCCCCCGTCTCACCCCCAGATCCCCAGGAGAGTTCAGCACGGCCCTTGCTGTGGGTGTCACAGAGACCAATGCGGGTCCCTCTCCCCGGGAATGGGCGAGCCTGGGTCCAGTCCACAGGGCGCCTCGCAGGCGCTGATGCAGGATGGAGTTGAGGTGGGGGCAGCGCTGGACCCCAGGGCCCATGCCTGCCTCCTGGGAAGCCCGGTGACCCAGGCAGCCCTAGCGAGGTCCCCGGGCTCCCACAGGACAGATGCGGACATTGGGGCCGGGGAGGCCCTGCTACCCTCGGGACTGTCCCTCCAGCCCCCAGCTTTCTGTGATTCTCTGGGCACCCTCTGCAGAGGGGCAGGGGATCCACCCTGGATACCGAGGTGCCGAGCTTGAGGGACCCCAGAGCTTCAGCCAGGCCACTTCCTTTGCGGGGTGAAGCTGAGGTTCAGAGGAGGGCAGGGGCAGGTCCTGGGGGCTCACCAAACAAAGGGAGCCTATCTCTTGGCTGGGGTCACAGGGAGCGCTCCTGTGCCACAACCCTAAGCTGTGTCTGGCCCGTCCGAGCCGCGGGCCCTTTAAGAGGGGGTGGTACTTCAACCTGGCGGGAGGGACGCTGCCAGCGTGCATGTGCCTGCGTGCACGTGCCCGCGTGCATGTGCCGCCCCTACGGAAGCCGAGACTACACTTCCTGTGAGGCCTCGGCAGCGGCGGCGGAGCAGCCTGGTGGTTGGAGAGAGCTTCCGAGAAGCCGTGGTGGGTTTCGCGTGACAGTGGAGGAGGAGGCGAGTCTCGGTAAGTGTCCGGGGCATGGACCCCACTGGGAACCCTCTGGACCTCCCTTCTCCTTCCCGGTCACTCCCTGCTTTCGGGCCCTGACTTATTCTGGGCATCTGGGCCCAAGTCGTCCGCATGGAGGCCGTTGTGGGGTCCTGGCCTTGGCAGCGTCCGCCCTCCTGCCACCCCTTGGCCCAGAGCCCCGGCGGTGACACGCTGGTCCAGGGTCTCTGCGAGCCCCATGGGCTTCTGAGCTGGGGTCTAGGGTTATTTTTGATGCCTCAAGACCTTTAGCAAGAGACCTGGCCAGAGAAGGGGACATGTGTAGTTTCAATTCTTTGAGGAGTGTCCAGCTATTTCGCTGTTTTCCATGGTGTGTATCCTAATTTTCAGTTCCACCTACAGTGTATGAGTTCCCCTTTCTCGAAAACCACACTCGCATTCCTATGTTTTTCTTTTCATTTGTTTTGTTTTCTGAGACACAGTCTTGCTCTGTTGCCCATGCTGGGGTGCAGTGGCGTGATCGCGGCTCACTGAAACCGTTGTCTCCTGGGTTCAAGCAATTCTCCTGGCTCAGCCTCCAGAGTAGCTGGGACTCTGGGCAGCAGCCACCACACCCAGCTAATTTTTGTATTTTTAGTAGAGTCGGGGTCTCACGACATTGGGCAGGCTGGTCTCAACCTCCTGACCTCAGGTGATCCACCCGCCTTAGCCTCCCAAAATACTGGGATTACAGGCCTGAGCCACAGCTCCCTGCCCCTCCTATTTTTAAAAGTTTTTTTTAGGAATATTCAATAAGTGTGAGATTATGTGCATGTGGTTTTGAATTACAGTTTTCTGATGAATAGTTAATTTTGAGGACCTTATATCGTATCTGTTCTTTTTTATGACTGTACAGAATTGCCTGTTCAGGTTCTTGGCGAAATAGTTGGATTCTTTTGCTGCTTTACAGTGTTTTCTGTGTACACATTAGATGACAACTCGTGAATTACAAGATTGCCTGAAATTTTTGGCTAATCTATAGGATGCTTTTATTATTTGTAAAGTAATTTATTTTGAGATGCAGAAACTTTTCAGGTTGGTATAGTCCCATATGTTTGTTTTTGCATTTCATGCATGTAATTTTGGTCACCCATATAAGAAAATATATATCAGTGACAAAGCATTTAGTTGTCCGTGAGGTTTTTCTTCAAAGGTGTTTGTTTTCCTCTTTGCAAAGATGAGCAGAGATTCAAGTAACCAAAAATACATGTTCATCCTGTGTTTTTAAAACTTTTTGTGGTTTATGGTCTTTGGCCTTCAGTTTGGGGGAGGGGGTTTTGTTTTTCATAGGTCGTGTAAAATAAGGGTCCTATTTCTTGCTTCTGCATCCGGATATCATTTTTCTCAAATGTATTCATTGAGCAGACTCTGCCTTCCACATTGTGGTGTTCTTTATGAAAGTCAGTTGACTGTGTCCATATTTGTGTTGATCATGTTTTTGCTCTCCCTGTTTTTTTCCACAGTTCTAGGTATTTTTATTTATGCAAGTACCATATTTCTGCTGCATGACTACAACTTGGCAGTGTAATTTGATATTGAGGATTGTGGGTTCTCACTTTGATTGTATTTCTGAGGGTTCCTTTAAATATTCATTGCCTTTGTGGCTCTCTGTGATTTTTAGCAATATGTATTTATTGCTGTTAACTTTATTTCACAACACAAAGGTCTATAATTAGGGGTACATTTTCATACATATAGATGGGGTAATGATCAAATCAGGGTACTTGGGAGCTCTATTCCCTCACACAGGTTATATTTTTGTGTGGAGAGAACATTCAAAATTATCCCTTCTTACTCTTTAGAAAAATATAATATTGTTAACTCCAGTCACTGGGGCTGAGGAGAACATTCAGATGTATTCCTTTAATGTTGAGATAACTTTGTTTCCATAACCAATCCTTCCCCATTCCCCCTCTAGCTCCCAGACTGTGGTAATCAATATTGTGCTTTCTACTTCTTTAAGATAAACATCTTAAGATTTCACGTGAGTGGTATCATTCAGTGTTTGTCTTTCTAGGCCTAGCTCATTACATTTAGCATAATGTTTTCCAGGTTCATCTGTGTTGCTCTAAGTGACAGTGTTTCATTGTTTTGATGGCTGAAGAATATTCCCTAGTGTATGTATATGAGAGTTTCTTGATCTCTGTATCTGTGGATGAACAGGTGGGTTGAATGATACCCAGTAGTGGGACTGCTAGATGGTTTGGTGTTTCTTTTTTTTCCTATTTGCAGGACCCCTCAACTGTTTTTTATAGCGTTAATAATAATTTACGTTTCCACAAACAGTTCCCCTTTCTGGAAATTCATACCAGGATTTTTTTTTTTTTTTTCTCTGAGACAGAGTCTAGCTCTGTCACCCAGGCTGGAGTGGAGTGGCCGATTTTGGCTCAGTGCAAGCCCCACCCCTCGGGTTCATGCCATTTTCCTGCCTCAGCCTCCCGAGTAGCTGGGACTACAGGCAGCCGCTACCACGCCAGGGTAATTTTTTATATTTTTAGTAAAGACGGGGTTTCACTGTGTGAGCCAGGATGGTCTTGATCTCCTGCCCGCGTGATCCACCCGCCTCGGCCTCCCAAAGTGCTAGGATTATAGGCATGAGCCACTGCGCCCAGCCTAGGAATTGTCTTTTTAAATACTTTAATTTTTTTGTAATGTTCATTCTAGTTGGAGTGAGATAAATTCTGAGTGTGGTTTTGATCTACATTTTTCTCATGAGTAGTAATGTTAACCCCATTTTTGTAAACATTGGGTCAGTTTCCTGTGTTCTTTGCAGAAATATCTACTCAGGTCATTTGCCCAATTTTGATCTGTGTTTTTTTCTGTTGTTTTGTTTTTTTTGCCAGCTGGCAGTGTTACTAGCTTGTACATTTTCAAAAACAACCCCTTATCCACTGTATGTTTGCCCAAACTTTTCTTATAATTTTCAGTATGCTTTTTCATTTTGTTCATTGTTTTCTTTGTTGGGCACAAACTCTTCAGTGACGTGGTCCCACACGTGTAGAATTTCTTGGTTAGCTGTGCTGTTGGTTACTAATCAGGAAAAAACAAAATTGCTACCAAAGCAGTCCATTGTCAATGATTTTTTTCCTTGTATTTTTGTTACTTTTTGAAAACCATGAGCATACATCCAAGTTGCCCTAAATATACACACACCAGAGGTTGTCTTTATAGGAGCCTTATGGTTGCAAGTTTGGTGTATAATCTTTAATCCTTTTGAGTTGATTATTGTGTATCTAGTACCATAAGAGTCCTGTATTGTATTCCATATGGATATCTAGTTTTGGAAACCTTCCCCATTGTGTCATTTTGCTGGTGTTTTGAAACATGTGTTTACTCTGTAGAATTTTGTGTTGATTCTTGAGCATCCTCATTTTTCTCACTGGTCTGTGTTTCTCTGTGTATGCCAGTAACATATGGGTTGGTTAACCAGGGATTTTCTAATAATTAGAACTCAGAGAATGTGATGCATCCCATATGGTTTGTATTTCTCAGGATAGCTTTGGAAATTCAGCATGTTTCACATTTTCACATACATTGTGGCATTATTTCTATTTCTTAAAACACTATTTGCCATATACTAAATGTATATGATCAGAGGGTACAAGGAAGATTTTGATACATGTATATGTTGAGTAATGATAAAATCGGGTTATTTAGCATCTCTTCACCTCATATAGTTTTTATTTTTTGAGTGGTAACAACATTCAGAATCTTTCCTTCTAGCTACTTTGAAACATATGACACATTTGTGTTAAGGCTAATCACCCTGCTATGGAATAGAAGACCAGATTTGATCACTCTCATCTGAGAGTGACTTTGTACCCATCACTGATTCCTTCCCAGACCACCTCTACCTCCCCTGCAGACTCTGGTGACCCCTATTGAACTTGTTACTTCTAGGATGTAAAGTTCTTTTCAGTCTACATCCCTGAGATAACATGGCATCAGTCTTTCTCGACCAGGCTCATTCATTGGACTTGATGTTCTCCAGGTTTCATCATGTGGCTGCAGATGGCAGGATTTTCCAAAGCTTTGTGGCTGAAACATATTCTGTGGTGTATCTATACAGCAGTTTCCTCATCCCTGCAGCTCCGTATGCACAGGTAGGTTGGTTCTGTACCTTGGCCACAGTTACAAGTGCTTTAGTACCCCTGGGAAGGCAGATAGCTCTCTTCAACCTAGGATTTCAACTGCTTTAAATGTGGAACCACTGGTGTGGCTGCTAGCTGACGTGGTAGATGTACTGTGAATTTGTTCAGGAATCTCTAGCTGTTTTTCAGAGTGTGTATACTAATTTACATCCCCACCAATAGTGTTTAAGAGGTTACCGTTCTATAAGTCTATACTGGATGTCACTTTCAAAAAATCTGTGTTTTGTTTGTTTTGGGTAGTATTCATTCTGAATGGAATGAGACGGAATCATAGTGTGGTTTTCATGGACATTTTTGTGAGGATTAGTGATGTCAATAAAGTTATTTGAGAAATCCCCACATTGCTCTCCATGGTATCCAAACTAGTTTTCATTTCCACCAACAGCCGACCAGCATCCCTTTCCTCCTGTGCCTCACTGCCATTTATTCTTGTGGACTGTGTCACAATCGTCATTCTGACCAGTGTGAAATACTATCTCATGGGTTTTTTGCTTTACATTTCTCTGATGATTACTGAGGTAGAGAAATGTTGTCCTGTCTGTTGGTTGCTGTAAACCTTCTTCTGAGATGCTTGTTTTCATGCCCCTTGCCCTTCCTTCATTGAGTTTTTGTTTTGCTGATTTATTTGCTTAAGGTCTTTGAGGTAGATCCTGGATATTAGACTTCATCAGATGCATACGTGGAAACATTTTCTGCCACTGCGTAGGCTGTCCGTTTACTCTGTTGGTAATTTCTTCTGCTGTACAGCAGCCCTTTTGTACATTAGGCCCCACTTGTCAATAATTGTTTTAGTTGCACTTGCTTTTTACACATTTTGTAAAAGAA